ATCTACATTTGGGAATGCTTGTATGAGAACATGTGCATCTCCCCTTACATGTCCCTTTAAATAGCATAATTTGGTAACACTTGCAAGATCACTCCAATCATGTACGACTGCTTTAAAGATAGACCAAAATTCCTCCCAGTTTTCTCCTGGATTAAACACAGGCATGCATAATTCTGGGAGTTTTGGTAGACACCTCTGATTTTCCTTACTAGGTTGACCAACAACATTGTTTACACCCTTTACCTTCTCCAAAGCCTTAGTTTTGCAGGACACAATGTTGTCCTCCTTTTCATAATATTGATCCAGCAGCCGCTCCCTTTCAGCATCATCTGCACAATTCACCAGAAGATCGCTCTCACAGTCCTCATACCACAATTTATATGACTCATATTTTCTAAGGCATCTAGGTGTAGCTTTAATTCATCAGGGTTTACCGTTTCTCATCTCATTAACTCCATACACTTGTTGTATGATTTAGTAACATGACCCTTCCGAGCTTGTAGTGATGCTTTCTTTGCTTTGGCATCCATGGACTTGCCAGCCGCACTAACTTCCTCAGACCCAGCCATGGTTAGGGAATTAATAATCACCAATTATACAACTTAAGTAGACACCTTGTGAGAGTAATTCTTGCACTTTACTCTTGTATAAATCCTAGCCACCCATGTGCTAGTAATTAATTGGGCTAATTATCATCCACCACACGACCGATTAAATTTGTGTACCCTATACCCACTTTCTTCAATCAATTACTTAATAATTAAGTGACTAATTCAATTAATTTTTCACTGATTGCATCCGGTTCAGGATGGACCAGCGGGCAGATATGGAAAATTTTATAGGGGTTATTACTTGTACATACCTCAACATTACATGCATATGAGTAATCTCATTGGGAGACAACAACTATATTGTTTACCGTAGTCACCCATGTAGACATGTGAGAAAACTTAACCACCTCTGGTCACTGCAGGTGGCCCCTCGACCCTCACAATCTTATCCATATCTATCCGAGACCAGTATAAATTGGATAGCACCTCAAGTATGGCGCTACTAATTAATTGTGGACTGTACAGATTATATTAGTTTAACTGAATAAGGGGAGGGGGGGGTAGGTCACACATGGATACATCCATCAAGGAAAAACATTTGTACATAATCCCACCACTTACCAGATATTCTCTGGTGGTCACTTGATGTGACTGGATCACCCATAACCTATCCAATTAAGACATACCTAACTGGCCAGTATCGGTCTGCTATAACTAGAAAGGTTACTTAACTGTGGGTGATTGATGCTCCTTATTTCCTCCATTCACCATCTCATTTCGATGTCCTGCTACACCGACACTGTTCTTATTCCAGCAGGACGAGGTATCCGTTGGTTTGTCCCAGTTTAGAAATCGTGTTTCCATAAAACTTCACTATCCTCGGGACGAGAACCACGCGTTCACTCGGAGCAGGGCGATTTATTTCACTTCCCGCATTCTCTTAACTTAATGTTATTATCACTGATTTCATTACCATTCACAAGACGATTTAACGTCTCATAATTATTATACACATTAGAGGTCATTCCATTAAGATCTGAGACCGATGAGTGAGGATTAACTCACGGGTAATTTCCCCTGGACACATTCCATGGTGGCGCACTCGTCACCCCCGGTCCTACTATTATCCACTCATTTTACCACTTTATTACGGTGGTCACGTAAATCACATTCCCTCACTCTTCGCCAGGAACAGTTACGACACTTCCTATTAGGAAGTGAGGCCTATATTAATCCTTAGGCCACCGTGAATGCCAATTTCCTGATCCCATGTTTTCACAGCCTCCTCACTACATTCAAAACACTGCTGCCAACCCATGCCCTGAGTCGACCTGTCCCCCCCGCACATCTGCGCAGGCGCAGGGCGAACCCGGTTGGTTCTATTCAAAATACAAATACATTTTGACTCAAATCAACACATTAAACACTTATTAGGCACTATAGCTGTGGAAATTAAGTAATTTCCACATACAGCGCAGCAGGGCAAGGAAAGATGCAGGGGAAATGGGTGGCAAGAGGGAGAGGGAAGATTATTAGGGTATGGAGTGCAGTGGGGCAGTCGATGGTGCAGGGGTAGAGGGTAGCTAGAGAGTAAGGTAGAAAGGACAGAAGAGAGTGATAGAGGCATCATCGTCAGAGTTCGTGTAGTAAATTGGTCATTGTCAAAAAGTCAATGAGAGAGTCTGGATTAAAGGAGGATCCATCTGCAAGAAGGGAAGGTAAAGAAAGGGCAGTGGAGTGGAGACGACGTTGGAGGTAAATTCTGGGTACTTGTTGATGGAGAGGACAGTCCAACAGAATGTGGCTAACTGATACTGGAACTTGACAATTCTCACAGATAGGAACAGGGTGCCTCTCCAAGAGATACCCGTGAGTAAGAAGAGCTTGGCCGATGCAAAGATGGGAGAGAGTAGTCTCCCAAACCTTGACATTGATGACAAGACGGCCAGAAATCTATACTCGGTTTAATGGAATGAAGTTTGTTATGGAGCAGATCAGACCAATGTTGTTGCCAATGGGTGCGAAAGTGTTAGTTAGTTTAATATGTTTATTATGCACCCTATACCCATCCTGTGGGCGGTAGTCAAAAGATTACAGAGGTACATAATTGGTCCAGGGACTGGACTCCAAAGTTTTGATAGCTGAGCAAGTTACAGAGGTAATGAATTCACAATTTACAAAGGTAATGAACTCCGGGTAGGTCTAGTCACAATCATGACAAGTTACAAAGGTATTTACAGATTACAGAGGTACATAATGGGTCCAGGGACTGGGCCCCCAAAGTTTTGCGAAAGTGGGTAGCAATTTCAGCAAAATAGTGAATGGAACACCTTTCTATGAAACTGGGAGGTGATGTACTGCTGACTGTGCAGCAGTGTCTGCCTGTTCATTGCCCTATATGTCAACATGACCAGCAAAAAACAATATCTTTGTGTTTGCTAGAGATACGGCATAGCCAAAGTTGGATACAAAGAACTAGGGTGTGAGGTGTATCAATTTCTTTTATAGCCTGTAATGCACTAAGGGAGTCTGAAACAACCACAAATGGTGACAAAGGCATAGATACTATACAGATAAGTGCTCTTAGAATGGCATACAATTCAGCCGTAAAAATGCTAGCCGAGGATAATAAATGTCCTTGCACGACACTGGAAACACTGCTGTGAATCTGACGCCGTCAGGAGACTTAGAACCACTGGTGAACACTGCGATGGCATGATAATGAGAGAGAAAGTGATCAAGAAAAAGAGAGCAGGAAGCCACCGTAGGTAGTTGGGCTTTCGTGCATGGTAGTGGGAAAGAACAGACACGAACAGCTGGAACCTCCCATGGGGGCATGGAAAAGTGAGATGCTACATGAACGTAGAAAGGTGGTAACTGTAGAGAAGACGAGCGAATGGAGGCAGAGAAAAGGGGCGATGAACAAATGAACATCTACTAACATCAATGACCATCCTATATACAGAAGGATTGAGGTCGTGAGATCGAACATAATAGCGAAGACAATGAGTGTCATGGCGATCGGACAAGGATGGAATATTCGCTTCTGCATAGAGGCTCTCAATAGGGGATGAACGAAAGGCACCAAGGCACAACGGAGACCTTGGTGATAAATGGGATCTAACCTAGACTTGCGGAAGAGGCCGCAAAATAGATTTGGTCACCACAATCCTGCTTGGACAAGACTAGGGTGGAATGCAAAAGGAAAGTGCGACGATCTGCTCCCCCTGAACGATGTGTGAGAACTTTAAGGAGATTTAGCCGACCATGGCAAGTTGTCTTTAAAGAAGAAATGTGTGGTCTCCACGTTAGCCGGCGATCAAAGAGCAGGCCCAGAAACTTGCCCGTATCACATGCCGGAATACGTGAATCGTGCAAGTACAAGGGAGTATCCAGAATTAGAGGACGTCTAGTGAAGGTAATGAATTGGGTTTTCGTACTAAAAAAATTTAGAGCCGTGAGAAGTGGTCCAATGGGAGACTCGGTCTATCACAACCTGAAGGGAGGCTGCTACTATTTGACAGTCAGCGCCCGTGTAAGCTATAGCAAAGTCATCAACATAAAGTGACGACCAAATATGTGAAGAATGGAAGGTAGGTCATTTATAGCTAGGGAAAAAAGAGTAGTGGTGAGGACACAACCTTGTGGAATTCCTTCAGCTTGTACAAAGTCCGGGGAAAGCGAGGTGCCAATACGGACCCAAAAATGTCTATCGGACAAGAAAGCAGCAATGAAGTTTGGTAGATTACCGTGGAGGCCTAAGGAGTGGGCTTGGGCTAGGATGTTATACCTCCAAGTGGTTTTGATGTTATCTTTTAATACCAATGTGATTTTATTCCACAGTTGGAGATACCCAAAATCCCTTCCCTGGTTTAATATCTCTTTTAGATAATTCTTGTATATCTGCACAAGGTGCATGGGCCCAGTTACCACATAAGTTGCATGTAATCCATGCAGAAGCCCATTTAGTTGCAGACTACACAGGATTTCATAATGTGATTTTATTGGTTGTTTTACTGTATATCCTACTAATAACCTCCTTGAAGTGTAGATCTGTTTGTATTGTATCTATTTGTATTTGTACGTGTATTGTTTGGGACAAGCTTACCACTCTAGTAGTTACTGTTTGAGTGTTTGATAAGGGCGTGTAAAACCCCGTCAGCTAATATAGTGAATTTACATTCAGGAAGATTAGATTTTTATCATTCCATGCACCACATTTAATATCTAATATAATATCGATAATTTTAATGTAAGATATATCGTGTGGTTTTTCAACCTTTATAAGCCAAAATTGATAATACGATTTGAAAAAAAAAAAAAATCTTACATGATAGAGATCAAAGTTCAGATTCTTTATGAACACATCAAAGTTACCTTTAATCAACCAATTTGGTTTCTGAACTGGCTAGTATAATTAGGTATGCATGAAAAGTTTGGTTTTCATACCTCTCTCACATAGGTGCTTTTAGAACATGATGTAAAGTCCAAAATAAAGAGGAAGGTAGTTGCAGCACAGAGAAGGAAATAAAAGTTTTCCAGTAGTAAGTACCTTCTTCTTAGCTGTAAAGAAAAGGTTAAAATTATTTAGCGCAAGTGGTAAAAGCTGCTGATTTCATTGTTATTTTCTTAGTAAAACAAAAAATTATGAATTAGTATTTTAAATGTAAATTTTCAAATTTTAGACGAAATTTGTAAAAAAAAAAAAAAAAGTCATTTGGGTCTTCATAACAATTTTATGCTTCACATCACCTTGGTATGTCAATCAAATCACATATGTTCATCATGGAAAGGATAGAAATAAAATAATAATGACAATACCAAGAAGCAATATTATAAAACTGAGGATAAACAAGTACGCAAGTACGAAAAGCCTTTGTTTTGAACGCACCAATTAGCATCTACATGTCTTTTGTATTTTGCTACATAACATGGTGACCGTTCTCTCCGACTGTCTCTGGTGAAGTTTTGGTTGCTTTTGGTCATTGGTATGGGAGTCATTTACACCTTTGACTGCATAGAAAATATCATGCTATACATCTGCTACGATAAGACCACTGAAACTTAGCTAATGATGTATTAAACTCCAGCATCAGGACTCTTCTCTCCTATATATTTTTTCATGTCTCTTTCAGATAGGTAATATTCAAAGTAAGTGGTTTTAAATTTTAATTATTTTTCCATACTTTTTCTAACATTAATTCCTTGTATTAATTTTTGTCTTTTTATATGGAAAAAGTGCATTTTCAAATACCCTTTGAGAGTCTGATGTGACTTTATATTTTACATACTAACATTGGAGCATTATCAACAATATAAAATTAAGGGACATTTTGAGAAGAAAAGTGACACTGGGTCTGTCTGAAACCAAACTCAAAGTATATTATAAATGAGTTAATTTTTAAGAAAAATTACTAGGGTTGTAGACACAAAATTGGTAATTTTTGTAGAAGAATCATTGCCAGCTACATAAATTAAAATCTGTGAGGTAAATGTCACTATTTTAGTGGAAGAAATCCAGAGTTAAAATTAAAAGTTCATGAGTGTGAGAGGAAGTGCTAGAACCATTGGAAATTTAAGAAAATTATGTAATGAAAACTTACTGAAGATAGGAAACTACTAGTGTTTCTATTATAACTAACAATAGGTAATTACATACACATACACACACGCACAACTGGAAGTTGAAAATTCAACTGAGTCATAGGGATGTTATCGGGAAGATTAACAATCTGGAAAGTGAAGCAGTAGAATTGGAACCCATTCATAGCTTTAGGAAGAGGAACGATAAGGCTCTTGGGGCCGGGAAAGTGAATTTAATAGCAACCAGTTACTTGACTCACGGGGCCAGGAGCTGTGAATTGACACCTGCAACTACATACAGGTTAGTAAATATATGCGAGTACTTGCGCTCACGCCATATAAACCGAACAAGATTGGAACCCACAACCCAGCAGATCTGAGACTATCAGCCAATTTCACTATGACAATACAGTCAGAATTGTTCTTCAACCAGAGACTGCTGGTGACGGCAACAGATGAAGATCACAACTGTGATCTAGTTACAAGTTATTGCGGTGAACCTTCGATTCAACCGGCAGCTGATGGGCGGCTCAACTTGAGGACCTTCTATGTTAGCAATATCTCAAGCAGATAACAGTGTTAATGTAAATAATAAAGCGAACAAAATTAGAACTAGTGATCTCTCAGGACTGAAATCACCAGATCGTCACACAAGCTACCTTGCTTCTGCATGGTAAGAATTTTTTTTTAAATCCGAATTTGCTTTCTGGATAGGTTAATCAAGGTCACAACTGTTATCCACTCAAGAGTTTTTTTTTTTTTTTGCAGTAGTGGATAGTGTGGTAATACCGGCAAGTTGTAGTTGATAATAAAAACAGCAATTTGAAGTTTTGAATTTAGTTTCCAATTGTCTGTTTGTATTTGTTAAAATGAGATTTTAGTTTCCCGTCGGATAATCTCCTTTATGGCCTTTACCGACCTTTCCAGTAAACAGTAATTTTCTATTACAGAATCCAAATTTTGGTCTCAATGTTCATATAATATTTTGCCCGTCTGGATATTTACACCATGAATCTTTTGAGAAAAAAAATAGGACAATATGGATTTATATTTCTATATGATATTTTACTTACTCTTAATATTTTGTATAAGTCTTGCAGAATTCCAATAGAAAGTGTCAACAGGATTATGATTCCAAGACCATGAGGAACTTTGTTCTCTTGTTTCAGAAGATGCTTAAGCTGTGGTGCGAAAGGTTTTTCATCTCCAGTGGAGCACACCAACGACTGTGTTATGTTGTATGTCTTCTGCATATACATCCAGTCCCTAGACAAAAGTAAATCAGTGTGTGCTCACTAAAGAATAAAGGTTGGAATTCATGTAATTCGATAGTGTTACATATCCTTAAAAATAAAGTTCGTGCATTTATATTTTAAGAAACTTCTTTGTAAACATATTTTTTTATTAACACACCGGCCGATTCCCACAAAGGTAGGGTAGCGCAAAAAAGAAAAACTTTCATCATTCACACCATCACTGTCTTGCCAGAAGGGTGCTTTACACTACAGTTATAAAACTGCAACATTAACACCCCTCCTTCAGAGTGCAGACACTGCACTTCCCATCTCCAGGACTCAAGTCTGGCCTGCCGGTTTTCCTGAATCCCTTCATAAATGTTACCTTGCTCACACTCCAACAATACATCAAGTATTAAAAGCCATTTGTCTCCATTCACTCCTATCAAATACGCTCACGCATGCTTGCTGGAAGTCCAAGCACCTCACACACAAAACCTCCTTTACCCCCTCCCTCAAACCCTTCCTAGGCCGACCCCTACCCCTCTACTACAGATTTACACACACTCTAAGTCATTCTGCTTTGTTCCATTCTCTATACATGTCCGAACCACCTCAACAACCCTCCTCCTCAGCCCTCTGGATAATAGTTTTGATAATCCCACACCTCCTAATTTCCAAACTACGAATTCACTGCATTATATTCACACTACGCATTGCCCTCAAACATAACATCTCCACTGCCTCCAGTGGAGGCAGTGGAAATGTCATGTCTGAGGCCATCTAAATACTCTTATTTTAGGAGGCATATAAACATATATGCCTCCTAAAACAAGAATATTTAGTTGAATTTATGGAGGAAAGTATATGGGTTGAACAAAGTATGAACACCGGCGGCGTCTGGTTGTCTTTGTTGTGGACGTTTCGCCATCCATTGGCTGGCTGGATGGCGAAACGTCTACGATGGGGATACCCGGGTGTTGCGCATGTGTCTTAATTTCATCTTGTCGGTATTATATATCATTCTTGTACTACTACTACTACTACTACTACTACCATCACCTCTTCCTGCCTATATATAGCCGTCCTACTCCACCTCTGGTTAGTGTGACTTTGTCAATGGTCCAAGTCGGACCGAAACGTCGTCGTAAGCTTCTCTCTTTTATGTGCGGGTTATTTGTGTATGAACACCTTGTTATGTAACTATTTTCAGTATGGAATTGGTCCACCATTTCCATACTGAATTGATTCAGGAATTGATTCATATAGCATTTGAACAGTATCCTGGCGAAGTCTGAGTCATTCCTCAAGCAAAACCTTCTCTAACTCTTTCAGGTTCCTGACTTTACCGTTTCAATTGAAAATACAAATGCTTGATAAGATAAGATTTCGTTCGGATTTTTAACCCCGGTGGGTTAGCCACCCAGGATAACCCAAGAAAGTCAGTGCGTCATCGAGGACTGTCTAACTTATTTCCATTGGGGTCCTTAATCTTGTCCCCCAGGATGCGACCCACACCAGTCGACTAACACCCAGGTACCTATTTGCTGCTAGGTGAACAGGACAACAGGTGTAAGGAAACGTGTCGGAATGTTTCCACCCGCCGGGAATCGAACCCGGGCCCTCCGTGTGTGAAGCGGGAGCTGTAGCCATCAGGCCACCGGGCCACCAATTTTAAGCTACTCTAGTGGTGTGAATTGGTGCATTGTCGTCTTGGAAGATAACACATGTCACACATTTTAATTGATTATTCAGTCATTCGGCAGTTCAGTCACTAGGTGTTTATATTATTTTGTCCAACCACCTACTGTACTTTCTGTAAAGCAATGATTTTAACTTTTGTCAAGATCTGAACATTATACCCATCAAGGGAGGAACTTGGAGCCGGTTAGTGGTTTTTGGTCCATGGAGTTAAATTAAGCACAAATTTATTAAGTTCTTTATAAGTGGTAGAACACAAGAAGGTAGAACGCTATTTTGAAACTCTTAATGTTACCAGTATTCTAGGTTAGGTAAGTGAGATATGATAGTATACTGTGTGAAATTTGTGTCAACTGATAAAAGCAGTTTCCCCATGTGTGTGTTTCGAGCTAATGAGAGAAAGTATGAGTGTGTATGTACCAGAATTTTTTATTAATTTTTTTTTAAATATTAACAGGTATTTTTTCTGTTTTAGAAGGTGCACATACAGGACCATGCAATCCCGTTTCCAGAGAGAGAACATGTTTCTGGAGGTGAATAAAGACCATGAACCCAAGCACTTATGTACATACACCAAATTAAGTAGATTAAGTTAAAGATATTCCATTTCAATCCTACTTTAGTTAGAAATTTTTAACTTCATATAAAAGACAATGCACATAGTAATATAATGAGTTACTACACTTTGTAAATTAAGGTGATAAAAATTACTAAATAAGAACGATATATCCCAACTGAAGAGGCGACATCATATTTAAAAATCATTGGCTTTACCTTTAAATCACTTTACCTTCATATAAGAACAAAGGTATACCGCCTTGAAAATTTTCTACGACTAAAAGCAGTGTCTTTGATGCACATTAATATAGCACACACCAGCTTCAAAATTTACTCTTCAACCAAATATGATCAAACATGGTCCATGGTCAAACACTTACCATGAGCACTTTCTTTAATCGCATTGAAAAGTGTATCCTTATCATATAATTGTAATAAGAATATGAAGCAATTATTGTCAACTCAAAAAATTATACTAAAAAGGTACAAGACTATTTCTACAAACTGGAAGAATAATTCGATAAGATAAAAGTGAAAATAGTAAACGCAACAGTTACGAAAACGGTGATATAAAAACCCTAAAGATGTGATAACATGAACATACTGTGGCACTGCTCTTGTAACTACCAACAGGTAATCACAAATATGTAAAACAGAAACCTCTCATAATTACCAAGATATTATAGTAAACACTGTTAATAAGATCGCCAAGATGCAAGCCATTCCTAGACAGAAAACCTGATGCCATCTGATGTATTGTTTCCACTTGTACTGAAGCCAGCAGGTGACGAGAGGGTGTTTCAGCAGGTCGTAGTGCTTGTAGCGAATGATACATTCTAAGAGGTGGTCGTTGCGCCAGTCCTGGTCCACCTTGGCCAACTCCACTCCGGCCACTAATTTCCCACTCTCCGTTTCAAAAGGTTCTCTCAAAAGTGAGTTTTGATTGCCGGTATTTAGGCGAGTGGCACTTTTATTATTACAAGTGACACTTTCCTTTTTGCCTACAATGAAGAAATACGAACATGAGTTACACAAAATGACAAACAAATTGCATAGGTTGGTATGCTTAGTTCTTTAGTTCATTCCTCATTTCTATATTAATTAGAAGCGACAAAAAGAACTCAGTTAAAAGAAAGAAAGCATCTTTTTTTTTATATTGGAAAATATGCTAATAGCGGTAAGGAATTGTCCTATATTAACACATTTCATACCTGGTAGTGGGTATGCCTCATCCAGGTAGTGTACTAAGTAACGTGTGTGTGACTGTTGCTGTGTATCTTTACTGTTATCTGGGGGCTTTTGCTGTGTATCTTCACTGTTATCTGGGGGCTTTTGCTGTGTATCTTCACTGTTATCTGAGGGCTTTTGCTGTGTATCTTCACTGTTATCTGGGGGCTGTTGCTGTGTATCTTCACTGTTATCTGGGGGCTGTTGCTGTGTATCTTTACTGTTATCTGGGGTTTGTATACACTTGTCCAGCACACGTCTTACTAAATCTGGATAATCCTTCACAAGCAAAATCAAATTCTTGTTCTTCAGCTTCTTTTCTAAAATTTCTTCGGCAGGTTTGAAGGCCTCTTCCCAGAAGCAACTGTCTATGATAATTTCCATCATTTTTCTGTAAATGAAGACCATAGTCAAATTTAAAATAAAACTTATACTATTGCAACTATTATACATGTTAAGTTCATGCAATAGAAAAGTAAATAATAAATATTCAGAAGTCATCATATGCTTCACCTTACCTCTACTCTAATATACAAGACGTAATTATTTTATTCGTCAGGAGACAAGTGCCGCTTCCTGACGTGGGTTTAAATCGTATAGATGACCACATTAGTTCTGACCGCTTGTTTTTCGACACCTCCCACAGTGGGTGACAGACTGATTACATCAATACTACTACTTCCATTATTTATATCTACTCAAACACTCATACTAAGCGCTAAGCACGATGTAACCTGTTAACCACCAGTTAAAATTTTTTTAATCCTTAAAATGGGGATTTAAAGCGAGTTTATATATACTGAGAGATATACACCTCTTGGTGTATATAATGCTGTGTTTTGCTGGAAGTGTGAGCTGTCCTCAGAGGTATCTGTGGAATTATCTATTCGAGATTTCTTGGTGTTATTTTACGATCTTCACTGGTGGGTAATTTTTAGATTAAAACAAAGGATGCAGGCACAGAAAGAAAATGTAATAATGTGGTCGAATTTGTGAAATTTAATTAAGAGTTAGTCTTACATCTCCCCCAATTTTTCTTAAATTGTTTCTTAAATTCACAAGGGGATTTACTTAAACAGTATTTTGATAAATATTAAATGCTATAAATACTGTATAATTATGAACATCTCACTAGAAATATTACATACGTGTTGGTATGATTTCCCCTGAAGTAACCCTGATAGAAAAAATATAGTTACATTAAGTGGACTGTATATAGTGTATTTATACTATGAACACAGGTAAAGAAGGGCCTGTGAGACCTGTTCGTAATGGGAATATGGAGCAAACAAAAATCAACAGTAGTCTATAAGGTATATTTGCCTTCTCCAGATGATATATACAGGTATGTACAGATAGAATAGCAAGTGACAGATGGCAGACTGAACAAGATTTATCTCTAAAGCGAAGATTGAGAGGAACTTTAATATTATTTAATGTGGAGAAATTTTCTCCAGGAGGGGGGTATCAGCCCCTTCAGCCCTTTCAGCCCTTTCAGCCTTTCAGCCTTTCAGCCCTCTGAGGGACTCAGCCCTCCAGAGGGGCTGATGGCGTCTTGCTTCTGCATCTCTGCATCAACACTAATTGATCCCAGATGCAGTACGAGCATGTGACATGGTCACACGGCTCCTTGCAAGAGACCAATGTTGCAAGTAGTTTAGTTAAATAAGAGACAGTCAATCTCTTACCTTACCAGGACAATTAAAGAAAATCCTGCTTCCACTTTATTACCATGGTAAATTATTATTATTATAATCAAAAAGAAGCGCTAAGCCACAAGGGCTATACAGCTTACCATGGTAAAGATAGTGCACATTGTTATATATGCTTAAGACAGCAAGAATCAAGCATTCTGCATTGCTTCTTAGTGGAAGTTTGGCATGGAGGGGAAAAAAATGCCATGTCAGCTTTTCCTTTATGCAGGGGACAAGCGAGGTGGGGCAAGACGCTGTGACGTCAGATTACTTTTGACTCTGATGGGGCTCACATTGACGCCAGAATAACCAACAAAGAACACTGATCCGCACGTTAGTGTGTATAAAAGTGTCTCACAAAACACATATAAATGCTTACAGAGAAGTGTGATCAGCTTTTTTAGTGATAAGATTGTGAATAAACAAATCTTGATGAACAGTGTAACAACGAGTATTGTGATTCAACAGAGCGTAGTGCAACATTCTTCAAAGAACACTATTCTTCAACCAAGACAAAGGATATCCGGGTGCAACTACGGGTCAGCTACAAATACCCAGGTACATTTAATGAACATAACAGTGGTAGGTTGGCTGCGCAGCGGATATTGTGTTTATTAGCATACCAATACCCAGTGAAATACGGACCATTGAGTCCACAACAGTAAGTGTTGTCAGCAATCAGTTTATGAGATATGCTGACATAATACCCCCTAGGGGTAATTTATACCCATAACAAATTTTTTATTACAGCCCGTTGAGAGATGGATGATACAACCTCTCAAGACATTGCCTGCAGGGACAGCTGTGTAGGCGAGAGCTGTATATCAAGCTAAGTTCCCCCTATAGTCCACTATTTAATCTTTGATTTAGCTTGTCACACATTTCTCAACATTTAAAATGATCAAAGGACAAAATGATCTTGATTAAAAAACTTAGTTAAATATTGCTAATCCCACATAACAGCAACAATGATTTCCATCGAAACGAAATATATTGACTTATTTAGGAAGTAAATATGTGCGTGTTATTTCTTAATATATTTTGGTGTATCTGTGAATTTTGGAAGCAAAAAAATGCAACTGTTATAGGTTTAATGATATAAAATATTGGAAGAGTGTGAGCCAGAAAATCTGAATAGGCCAGGATAAATAAACACAAGACAGCTAGAATATAAAAAAAAAACTTTGCTGACCTAACACCATGAAACTTGTAAGAAACAAACTGACTGGAGAGGACAAGTGGGAGGTCTGGCAGTCATATTGCAGGATATTTTTACATATTTTTTTTTACGATTATGCAGCATGTAACACTAATTATAATTACAGAAAAGTCAATAAAAATTGTTGACACATTACATTTCTATAATGCTGAAGTGTTTTGCCTGAAGTCTAGTGATTCAGGGTGACGTACTTGTTCATAAAAATAAAGCAGCTGACAGCATCATTTAATTAGTAGGAACAGCTGAAATCTGGTTCATCGACCCAGTTGTATGTCATTTCCATATAATTTTTTTTTGTCTTAGAGTAGTACTGTTAGTATTATAATAAAAAAGAAGCGCTAAACCACAAGGGCTATACAGCGCTGCAGGGCATGGAAGGAAGCGAGGGTATCGGGCAGCAAAAGGGGGGAGGGATGATTAGTAGGCTACAGAGAACAGCGGGGCAGTGGATAGTGCAGGGGTAGAGGGTAGCAAGAGATTGAGGTAGAAAGGGCTGAGGGGAGTGTTAAAGGTGTCATCATCAGAGTTTGTGGAGTAAGTCAGTTGTTGTCAAAAAGTTTAATGAGAGAGTCCAGATGAAAGGAGGATCCATCAGCAAGAAGGGAAGGTGAAGAGAGAGCAGCAGAGTGTAGACAAAGTTGGAGGTAAATTCTGTTTGCTCGTTGATAGAGTGGGCAGTTTAACAGAATGTGACTAACCGATACTGGAACCTGACAATTCTCACAGAGAGGAGCAGGGCTCCTCTCCACGAGATATCCATGAGTAAGATGAGTGAGGCCAAAGATAGTAAATGCCCTCGCACGACGCTGTCCGGAAACACTGCTGCGAATCCGACGCCATCAGAAGACCTAGAGCCATCTGTGTACACTGCGATGGCATGATAATGAGAGTGGAAGTGGTCAAGAAAAAGAGCAGGAAGGCACTGTACGCAGTTGGGCTTTCGAGCAAGGGAGTGAGAAAGAACAGACTCGAACAGCTGGAACTTCCCAGGGGGGGTAGGGAAAAGTGAGATGCTACATGAACATAGAAAGGTGGTAACTGAAGCGAAGACAAGAGCGAATGTAGGCCAAGAGAAAAGGGACGGAGCAAACAGGGGCGGTGAACAAATGAAGAATGTCTACTAATATCGGTGACTATTCTATAAATGGAAGGATTGCGGAGATCATGAGAGCATACATAGTAGCGAAGGCAATGGGCATCACAGCGATCGGACAAGGATGGAACATTCGCTTCTGCATAGAGGCTTTCAACAGGGGAAGAGTGAAAAGCACCAAGGCATAAACGTAATCCTTGGTGATAGATGGGATTAAGGCTAGAGAGAGTAGCAGGAGATGCCGCTGAATAGATCTTGTCACCATAATCGAGTTTCGATAAAATGAGGGCTGAATGTAGGCGAAGGAGAGTTCGACGATCAGCTTCCCATAAAAGATGAGCAAGGGTTTTAAGAAGGTTCAGCCGGCTGTGACAAGTTGCCTTCAGAGAGGTAATGTGAGGTTTCCAGGATAACCTCCGGTCAAAGAGAAGGCTAGAAACCTGACTGTATAACGTTCAGGGAGGGATATGAGAGCCATAGAGGTACAAAGGATGATCGGGGATGACAGAGTGTCTAGTGAAAGTAATTTGTCGAGTTTCAGTACTGGAAAATTTAAACCCATGCATGCTGGCCCAATTGGAAACACGGTCGACCGCATGCTAGAGAGAAACTGTAATGAGGTGACAGTCAGCGCATGCACAAGCAATAGTGAAGTCATCAACATAGAGTGATGACCAAATATTGGATGGAAGACTAGAGGCCAAATCATTTATAGCAAGAAGGAAAAGTGTTGTGCTCAGAATACATCCCTGGGGGACACCTTCAGCTTGGACAAAGTCCGGGGAGAGCACATTATTAACCCGAACATGGAAATGTCTGTCAGTGAAAAAGTTCTTAAGGAAGGATGGTAGATTGCCTCGGAGGCCTAAGGAGTGGGCTTGGGCCAAAATATTATACCTCCAAGTTATGTCATATGCCTTCTCAAGGTCAAAAAATATGACAATAACTGAGTGGTTATTTGCAAAGTCATTACGAACATACATATCCAAGCGTAGGAAGGAGTCTGGTAGAACGGCCCTTACGAAAGCCATATTGATTAGTGGAGAGTGTTGTGTGTCTCTAAATACCAAATTAAACGTCGATTTACCAGACATCCCATCACTTTGCAAACTGCACTGGTAAGAGCAATGGGATGATAGTGGGAGGCATCATGTCCCTTAGTACCCGGTTTGCGGAGAGGGAGAACAATGGCAGATTTCCACAGCTGGGGAAGAACTCCTTGTGATCAAATAAGATTGAAGAGGTGTAAGAGGACTGCAAGGGCTTACTGATGTAAATGTTGTAACATCCGAATATGAATGTCGTCAGGCCCAGCTGCCGATGATCTGCAAGCTGAGAGTGTCACCTCCAGTTCCTGAAGTGTAAAAGGCACATTATACGGTTCT